AAATGCACACACACCTCAGGACTGAACATTAATGTTTAACGTCGAGAAACTCTCCTTTCCTCCCGAATGCTGTGTCCGACGCAGCTACTGTTGCGAGTCACTAGGGCACGGTGACTCCCAGATGCAGAGGGAAGCCGGGGCTTAGCAGGAGCCCGAGAGGCTAGAGTGAGCATGCGCATGTCCACGAAGGCGGGGCTTGTCGCGTAGGGAGCCACGTCATTAGTCTGATATAGTCTCAACGGAACCCGCAGCGAGCGGGAGGTAGCGTGGCCGAGTGGTCTAAGGCGCTGGATTTAGGCTCCAGTCATTTCGATGGCGTGGGTTCGAATCCCACCGCTGCCATACCGTTGTTGGTCTCACTTTTCTTTAAAGCTACAACCTTTTTGTGTCATTCTCACAGTTCCTCTTTCTTCTCCCTTTTCTATTTTCTGACGCTCATTTTTTCTTTTAATGGAATTGGTGACAGGGAGGGGAGAACTAAGAAACTGCAGCACAGGCCCTCTCGCGCCCTAGCCTAGTACACAAACCCACCAATCCTGCTACCTAAAACACAAAAAGGAAAGCGTTTCTGTATTCCCAGGATAAACCATCTGAGATACTTTGGAAAGTTCCCAACAGTCATTTAATGGTTCGATGTCTGAGGCCACAGGGAGTGGGTCTCTTCACCCAACAAGTACAAAGGTTATGTGGGGGTGATTTAATCATGACCCGAGCTAAAAGGGTTCCTTCTGGCTGGCTCTGTGTACTTTGGAGCGCACCCACTGACTCCAGAAACCTCTGCTGGCAGAAATGTGTCAGGCGTCCCTGGGGAGGGGCTCTGGTGTCGGGGGACTGCCCCACTTGGGGATTATCAACCTTGATGTCCCAGCTTCATAGGTCTACCTCCTACTTGGGCTTCAGTCTTGGTTTAGGGGCACCCCAGATATTTATTCATTCAACAACTACTTATGCAGGACCTACTGCGGGCCAGAAACCACGCTCCTCATGAGGCTACAGAACAAACAAGGCAGACATGTGTTTGCACCCATGGAGTTTACAGACATTGTAATTTCATCAATTACACCTCTGAGGAGTGAGTGTTAGCAGTGCAGCAAGCTAACCTGACCCAGGGCCAACAGAAGTGACATTTAGTTGGGACTTGAAATGAAATTCTGTGAAGGCAATTCAGGGCGCTGGACCGAGAGCAAGCAGTGGAGCAATAGCAAAAGATGGGCCTGAAGTGTTAGGTAAGGAGGGCCATCCATGCCAAGGTAAGGCTTTGAACTTGAGCCTGCACTCATCGAAAGGTTTTAAGCCAGAGGGTGGCACGTCCCAATTTTGGATTCAAAAAGTCCCTCTGGCAGCGAAAACAGGAGGCTGCCTTCAGAGCCTACAGCAGTCGTCTAGGAGAACAGAGAGCAGCTTGTACTGGGATGTGGCGGTGTGGCGGCCAGAGGGGTGGGGCAGAGAGACATTTTATATGTGGATCTGACAGAATCACTGATGAAACAAGAAGAGGAATATGTTAAAAGTAATTCCAAGCTTCCCGCCCTGGCCAGGTGGTTCAGTTGGTTGGAGCGTCATCCCCTACACACCAAAAAGTGATACCAGGTTTTGGGGTTGGGCCCCTGGCTGGCGGTGTCTATTCTCTCTGTAGGAAGAAACGTTGGATGAAGAGGTTTGCAAGATAGACGATTTCAGTTTGATTCACACTGAATTTGAGTCAATCTCCTGTGGGACATGGAGTTGGACATAGAAGTCTGGAGGTCTAGAGAACATTCCAAGCAAAAAATACAGATTGAGAAGACATTGGGGGCAGAGGCCATGGGAATGGATGAACTACCCAGGAAGAGTGCATGCAGGGAGCAGAGTCCTGAGGAACATCTTAAAGGGAGGACAATGGAAGGGAAGTCAGTGAAGGAGGCGGAGGACTGGCTAGACCAGGGGTGGGCAAACTTTTTGACTCAAGGGCCACAATGGATTCTTAAACTGGACCGGAGGGCAGGAACAAAAGCATGGATGGAGTGTTTGTGTGAACTAATATAAATTCAAAGTAAACATCATTACATAAAAGGGTACGGTCTTTTTTTTTTTTTTAGTTTTATTCATTTCAAACGGGCCGGATCCGGCCTGCGGGCCGTAGTTTGCCCACGGCTGGGCTAGACACACAGGTGGGGAACATGTGTTACGTCATATGGACCCAGAAGACTATTCAAGGAGGAGGGAGTACCCACTGTGTTGAATTCTGCTAAGAGGCTTGGCAAGATATAGATGGAAAAGTATCCATCGGATTTATGACTTATGGACAAGGTCATTGATGACCTTGATTAAAACCATAGTTTTAAAAAATATTTTTATTGAGTTCAGAGAGGAAGGGAGAGAGAGAAAAATCAATGATGAGAGATTATAATTGATCAGCTGCCTCCTGTACACCCCAAACTGGGGATTGAGCCCAAAATCCAGGCACGTGCCTTAACAGGGAATCAAACCGTGACCTCCTGGTTCATAGGTAGAGGCTCAACCACTGAGCCACGCCAGCCGGGCCTAAAACTATTTTGGAATGGACTTAAGAAATGAACACATTGAGTGTAGACAATCACAAAATTTGATTTTGAGGAGGGAAGAGTGATAGCAGTAGTGGGAGGGGAGACTGGGAAATGTTTTAGATTCCTGACACTGGTCTACAATAGGGAAGAGCATCAGTACACGCAATGATTGGCTGTGTCACCTTGGGCTGTCCCCGGTGACAACTCTGTTTTCTGTATTCATGACGCTCCTGCTCAGTGTCTACAATTAAGCTTGGACCTCCTACTTGCCCACTTAGAACCTTGTGGAAGGCTAGTGATCTAGGCAGCCTCTAAAATGCTCGTGGGGCCCTCGCTGGTTTGGTTCAGTGGATACAGTATTGGCCTGTGGACTGAAGGGTCCTGGTTTCGATTCTGGTCAGGGGCACATGCCTGGGTTGTGGGCACAATCCCCAGTGGGGGGCATGCAGGAGGCAGCCGATCCATGATTCTCTCTCGTGGTTGATGTTTCTAACTCTCTCTTCTTCTCTGAAATCAATAAAAATATATTAAAATAAGATAAAATAAAATGCTCCTGGGAACTCATTTGTTGGGTGGAGGCATCACCCCCTGCCCTCCCGGGAAAGGACGCTTGAGAGGAAGGAAGCTTTCTTGGCAGAGTGACCATGCTGCTCCCTGGCCGGGTTTTAGACATTCTGCTTCCACAGCATCAGGGACGAGGGGACCTAAAGAAATCCAAACATTCCAACACACTGATTTTGCTTGTGGGCCTCCAGAGCTGATGTTTGCTAGTAGACAAAAGATCTAGAAGGTTATGTGAGCAGGAGAAGCCTGCTCCCCTGCCTTAGGAACAGCTTTCTCAGGACTGGTAGAGAGAGCAGGTCAGAGCAGGTGAGTTTAGATGCAAGCGTGTTACTGAGAAGGGAGCCCAAGGACTTCCAGCCCCAATTGGAACTGAAAATGAGGTAGACCCCAGAGCTCCGCCCAGGCCTTGGCCTGGCTGAGGTGCAGACCAGCGGAAATAACCATGTATTGTGTTTAGGCCCGTGGGCCTGGGGCTGCTCCTCCACATTACCCCGCTGCAGAGCGGTAATCCCCACTCCCTCGCTGAAGTTACACACAACCCCAGTTTCCTCATCTGGAAATGGGAATAGGCCTTACGAAATAAAGAAAAACATGTAGATGGAAGCCCTTTCACATTGCCAAGCATTTAACAGACATAAAGGATTGTTATTGAGCTTTTTAACATTATATACACACATACAGGTCAGCCTAGCGCAGAGGAGCATACACGGTTTAGCTGCTTCACAAACCTCCTTCATTGCTCAGCAGAGGGGCACCCAGCCAGGACGCCGGCCCATCCGCTCTGATTAACTAGCACCTCCCCTCCCCTCCCCCACAGTTTTTATAGGTTTGTGCTGGTTTTCATCTTTTCCAGGATCCATAGTTTGCTCGGCCAGTTTCACGGGTGCGTTTTGTGATATTCATGGAGTATTTACACACTGCTCCTGGCGTCCATACCAGCACATGGTAGAGGCGCTGCTTCTGTGGGAAGCAAGGCTGATGAAGACATCTTGTGGGTTTAAATATCAAAGATTATGGTGACCACCACTGCCCTCTCCTTTACAAATAGAAGCACTACTAAATTATAAAATAGGACCAAGTTCTAATTCTTCCTATTATAACCATATTGGTACTTTTTCCAGACGTTTAATTATTTAAAAAGTTTGTTTTGTTTTGAATGTCGCCGCTAGTACTGTGTTTACTATGCTGAGTCACCCCGGACGCGTAAACCGGAAACCCAAACGGCCAGGTTGGGCTGGGCAGACGCGTGGGTATTCACACACGGGGCGGGGGGCCTGCGGGAGTGAGCGAGCCCAGGCGGGAGTGAGCGAGCCCAGGCGGGAGTGAGCGAGCCCAGGCGGGAGCGATCAGACGCAGCGCTGCTAGAACGGGTCGAACCAGGATCCCAGAGCATCTCAGGACGAGCCCGGGAAGCTGGGGAGCGAGGAGGGTGCAGTCCCTAGAGAGGCCGCAGCGGACGAGGAAAACTCTGCAAGCTCCCCAGCCTGCACCAGCCACTACCGACCGCGGAGGCCAGGCCCCCGCAACTCACCCGGGCGGCGTGGCTGGAGAGGGTGGAGCCAGAGCGGGAGGGGCGGGGCCAGGGTAGGGCACGTGGGAGAGGGGAGGGGCCGGATCCAGAGGGAGGAGCAACCAAGGGTGGGCTCAGGCGCACCCCTCGGTCCAGGAAAAGGAGGAACCGAAGCAGGGGAGACCGGGGGCGACCCAGGACTGGACAGGGGTGGGGACAAGTCCCGTCAGACGGAGCGGGCCTAAGGCTAGGACGTCATCGGTACCGGGCCAGGCCCGAGCGAGAAGCAGGACCAAGACCCAGAGGACAGGCAGGGGCGTGGCCATGGCTCCGGAACGGGCAGGGGCGGTCCGAGGCCGGAGGGTGGAGCAGAGGCGGGACCAGGACAAACGGGCCGCTGGTCAGACCGCGGACGGCTGCAGGCGAAGGAAGTGCAGCGCCGCGGCGAGCAGGCCGAGGAGCAGCAGCAGCCCGAGCAGCAGCCGCAGGAGCGCCCGCGCCCTGGCGCCGCGGGGCCGCCCGGGCCGTGGTCTGCACGTATCGCTCCACGGCGTCCGCGAAGTTGAACTTGTCCGGAGCGTAGCCCAGCTGGGCGCGGGCCCTGCCGATCCGGAAGGTGTGCGTGACGGCCCACGCTGTGCACCTGCGGCGAGAGGCGGGCAGCTGAGGGCGGGACGGGGGTGGGGTGGGAGCGGCCTCCCAGGCAAGTTTAAAGGGACCCGCGTGCTGGTCCGGCTCCCGCGCAGCCCTCCGCAGGGACAGCCTGCGTCCGCCCGTCTCCGTCTCCCTCGAGGAGCGCCTGGAGGGGCCTTTCCGGCGTCTCCCCACCCGAGCGCTGAACGCAGGCCCCGAAGCGCCCCTCTGCCGGCCTCGCAAGGTGCTGGGAGCAGAAGGCCCTTGCACTGGGCGCCTCGCCTCTGCTCCGGACCAGGCCTTCAGCCCTCGCTGAGCCACGGAGCCTCCCCACGAGGACTCCGTCACGCACAGGCGCTAGGGTTTGAGCTGCGTCTCGTCTCGCTGCGGCCACATGGCCTGGAGCCCACAGGCTTCACGGGCAACGACGCAGCTCTCAGGGCCAGAACTCACTCTCTACTCGACCTGCGCTGTCTCAGTTACTCCTCTGAGGTGGCTCTGTGGCACCACCCCCATCTCCTCTTAACATAGCTGAACATTGAAGAGATGCCCAGGGTCACACGGGGAGCCAGAGTCCTCCTCCTGCGACTTGGGAGGATGCCCACCCAGGTGGCCCCACTGGGCGGGCCGCTAACGGCCGATTCTCCCCTGGAGCGGAAGCAGCCCTGGGTCTAGCCCGGTTCTTAGATGCTTGTGGGAGAAGACAGGGAGGGAATCGGCTCTTGATCCTTTGGCCCAGGCTCGGGAGCTCCGGGCCTTGGGGCGGGCAGCAGCTGTGAGCTCCATCAGCAGGGTGCTGCAAGACCGTGCTCTCAGGTCCGAGGCTGGGGCTCATTTCCTCCCTCTCTTCCTCAGACCTGCGTCGGTGCCCCTTCTGTGCGCCCTGGAGCTCTTCCCAACTGTGCCTCCTGGGCTTTACTCAGTGTGTTGAGCTGCCCGGTTCCGGGGCTCTCCTCCCCTTTGGACTGTGAGCTCCTTGGGGTAAGGACCATGTGTGGCCTCCATTGCTCAGCACAGGGCCTGCACCAAGGTACAAGTTCAATGACTGAAACGCTACCAGTTCAAACTAGAGGGCTGGCTGGTGTGCACAGACTGAGCGGCAGAGGGCGCCAGAGCCACATTCCCCAGGAAATAGGGATCCTTTGCCCTGAACTGCCCAGAAGTCAAGGAGCCGGAGGGAGCCAGGTCCCTGCCCTGTTACGATTCCGCAGCATCTTGGCAGCTCTTTTACACTGATGTGATTCCTGACTCATTGCACAAGCTAGTACTTAAGCTTAAAATCATTTAGGCCTGGTTGCAGTTCAAATTTCAGCTCTGCTACTTCAGTGAGTGATCACAGGCAGGCTGTTTCACCCATGTGTCTCATTCCCTTCCCTTTAAGTGGAGATGGTAATATATCGTATAAGTGATGATTAAATGAGACCGACACAGAAAACACGGCCTGACATATCGCTGCCACTCAAAAGATGGTCACTGTTGTCAGCGGTCTCATTCCTCTGCTAGTTTGGATGGTTCAAAGGAGAAACGGTCGGGGATTGCCTATTTCTGTGGCCCAGCCTCCACTGCCAAGTCAGAGAGCACCGAGCTTGGAGTGTCAAGCCAATTCCAGAATGGTGTGACCAATCACTAATCTTTCTAGTCCTGCATCTCACCAGAAAATGAGATCACAATCATAATTCTTTTGCCAGGAATGCCTGAGTGCAATGCCTTCCAGGCTATCAGAGAAAATCAAATAAGAGACTGGATTGGAAGGATTTTGCAAATAACCCCAAACACCCATAAAGTTCGCTGCAAGAAAACGCCCTCTCTTTTAAACTGTATATGCAAATAGAAACATCATCATTATTTGAAAGCACTATTCTGTACAGGGTAGGTACTTAGCATATCCGTGTTATTCAGTAAGCATGGACAGTGAACCTGCAACTAAAGGCTCTGTGCGAGTGTGTTGAGAGTTGGCAGAGTTGGGGGAGTGGTAGCATTCTAAAAAGTGAATGTCATGCCCGGCCAGCATGGCTCAGTGGTTGATCGTCAACCTATGAACCAGGAGGTCACGGTTCGATTCCTGGTCATGGCACATTCCCGGGTTGTGGACTTGATCCCCAGTGTGGGATGTGCAGGAGGCAGCTGATCAATGATCTCTCTCATCATTGATGTTTCTATCTCTCTCTCTCTCCCTCTCCCTCTCTGAAATCAATAAAAATATATTAAAAATAAATAAAAATAAACAGTAAATGTCATGGAACCTGTTTTTTGGAGCCACCAGCTTGGCTGGGAGGATAAGCTGGATAAAATAACAACGGTGAGGGATGGGCTTGGAGCCGGCACATTTCAGATCAAGAGAGTACACACAGCCTAAGCAAAACCCAGAGGTCAGATGACTATGACGGACCTCACCCGAATTTGGGCCCACCTGGGAGGTTCTGAGACCGCAGACAAGCTTCCAGTTGTGGTGCCAAAGGGGTGAGGGGTAGTGGCAGTGGGTGTGGAAAAGAGCAGGAAGGTAAGTGAGGGTGCACCGGGCACGGGGCTCCCCCGGCAGCAGCCCACTTACCTCACTCCGGGTGAGCAGCGGCGGGACGCTGCAGATGGGCCTCAGGGCCAGGTGCAGGTACTCCATCACCGTGGCTGTGGGGAGAGAGGCGCTGACCAGGAAGCCTGGCTCTGTGCGAGCTCCAGGGGCCCTTGGGGACGTATCAGTTATTTGCTTTGCTAGGGGAAGTCTTCACTTTGCAAAAATGTTCTGTCAGTGGATTCCTTTAAATCAGCACTTCACAGCACATGCTGGGGTGCCTTGTTTGGCTGAGAAATGTCACAATTAAGTTGTTATCACATTTTAAGGACGGACCGAGCAGATTCCAAGTTACCTCCTAGTAATGTCTGCCTCATCACTTCTATTCCAATACTAGAGGCCCAGTGCATGAAATTCATGCACGGAGAGGGTCCCTAGTGGCTCCTGGCTGCGCCCTTATGTGGTTGGCCAGCCGGCCCTGACCCCTGGTTGAACTCCCGGTCGAGGCGACAATTTGCATATTAGGCTTTTATTATATAGAATGCTCTCTTGAGTAGGAGAGGAAGAAGCTGGGGTAGTGGCTCTTCCTGGGTTGCACTCTGGACCACTCCAAAAAAAGCTGATGCTCCCTCTGCCCCTTGGTTCTCACTGTTGCCGATGTCATTGTTCTGGGTGCGGCGGAGGCATTTTTATATTTTAAAAGCTCCCAGGTGACTCCAATGTGCAGCCAGGGCTAAGAACCTTTAGGTTACAGTTAGCTCCCCCTGTAGCCCCGTAACACTGCCGGAACCCTAATCTTCCCTCAGCTGGGGCCAAGGAGTGTCAGTCACCGTGGCGATGCGTACTGAGCAGCCATCCTGCGTGTGTGCCCTGGTGGACAATGTTGTACAAACCCCTGCTTTAAAAGGCAAGCACCCCAGGCTCAGTCCCACACGTGGGGCGTGCAGGAGGAAGCCAGTCAATGGTTCTCTCTCCTCACTGATGTTTCTCTCTCTCTCTCCCTCTCCTTTCCTCTCTGAAATCAGTAAAAATATATATTGTTTAGAAAGGCAAGCATCCCAGTGCGTTTAAAATACAAGTCCTGTGGAGGTTCCCGGAGCACAGCCCTCTGTGACGTGAGGGCCCTGTCCCTGGCCTAACACGGCCTGCCTCACACCTGCTCTGCACGCGCTGGAGGCGGCTGGCGGGCGGGGGCTGGGATGTGAGTAGAGACTGACCTTCAGGGTGAGGAGGAGAGTCTAGGGTCAAAGTGGGACCTCACATGCCCCAAAGCACCCGACTCCGGATGACCTTGGGGGCTGGAGAGCCCAGGGCCCTCTCCCCCTGAGTGCAATGCCTTCCAGCGCGGCCCAGGTGTGAATCCCTTTCTCACGGTGGCACCGTGGGCAGGTCACTAACCTTCAGAGCCTCAGTTGCCTCACCTCTACAATGGGCCCACACTACCCACCTGGCAAGTGGCACAAGGTTTAAACACGGCCAGGACTAGGGTGAGGGGAGGGACGTGCGGGGCTGGGCCCGGGCAGGTCAGGCCTGGAGCACTGGCTCTGAGTGAGGGTCTCCTTAAATCCTGTGCCCTCGGTGACTCTCTGGCCTCCACTAGTCCTGGCCCTGGGACTGCATGTCCACCCGGCACATGGAGGGCTTCTAATACACACATGCTTTCGCTTACCTGTCAGGTAAACCCAGGAGGTAGGTACCTGGATCCAGGGCTGGCTGTACCCCAGCTTCTCAAACTGCAAGAAAACAGCCTGAGATGAAAACAGTCCTCCAGGGGCTCGTGTGGAACAGCCACATGCCTCCTTTCCCCTGGGGCCCACAGAGGTACCCTGGCCCCGGGCCCACCCCCCACCCCCCACCGCCAGCCCAGGCCGATGCCAGTCTCGAAGTGAAATCCACACCCTGACCTGAAAACTCAAGTAGGAATTGAATGCGTGGGGTGGAGGGTCACTTGGGATCATCCACATCATTTTGTTTTTATTTACGTCTGCCTACACCCAAGGCACTTGCGCAGGGGGCGGGGGGCAGGGGGGAATGACACCAGATGTGTGGAAGGTTTAGAAGAGGAAGCAGACTGGGAGGGACTATGGCCAACAGGGCAACACAGGCCCCCAAAAGGACAGCTACCACCCAGCTCCAGGCAGTGCCAGTGTTACCCAATGGATACTGTTTCCAGAACTGGTTTTGCAGATGAAATGTGATGTTTTAGAAGGAGGGAAGGATGACGGGGAGAGCGGAGGTGGGGGTGGGCATCTGGGCACCTACCAGCGGAGCCATCCACTCAAACAGGTTGACGCTCTCCCCGTCATTGATGTAGTAGGCTTGCCCGCTCTGCCAGGGACACCAGAAAAGGGCACAGTCAGGCACCTGCCTCCTCCACCTTCAGACGGCTCCTGGCAGCCACCCTGGGCCCAGACCTGGACAATTCCCTTTCAATTCTGGAGCTGACCAGCTGTGTGACCCGATGGAGTCACTTAACCTCAATTTCTTTGTGTGTTTTTTTCTCAGTTTCTCCATCTGAGAAACGGAAGGATAGAAATGGGAGCTCCTGGACTGCTATAAAGATGGAAAGTGTATGTCAAATGCCTGGCATTTGGTGACGGTGCTTCTGGCATCAACGCCAGCTACCTCACAGGGTCACTGCTAGGCGCTAATCCTGCTCCGTGACGCCCCCTACCCGGCCCGCCCCAGCTTCTCCGGGCTGACAGTCCTTGCCCACGGCCCTCTTGGGTTGGGGAGAAACGCTGTATGTGAGCCAGGACTCCCCGAGGGGTGGAGCCCGGCTGCAGCCCGCGGGGAGGTGGGAGTGTCACGGGGACTCACGGCCACGTAGCCCTTGGCCGCAGTGAGGGCCTCGGCCGCCAGCACGTGTGCCTGCACCAGGTTGTGCACGTGGACCCAGTTCATCCTGGTCCTGCGGTCCCCGAATCGGAACATGAACAGCCTCTTCTTGATGTGGCTCTGAGGGCGGAGGAGAGGGGCGATCAACACAGGCCCCAGCCTGCGTGCCTTTACATTTCACCTCTGTGCTGATGGGCCCCACATTTCTAGCTCCAGGCCGGAGCCCTCTGCCCCAACCCCAGGTTCCATCAATAGTCCCCGCGAACTCGCCGGTCCCGGAGCTGATGCCTGGTCTTTGCTCTCTCTCAGCCCCGCTGGGAGGGAGGGGGCGGCCTTGCTCTCCCTTCTCTCATACCCCACATCCAGCTCACCTGCAAGTCCCGTTGGCTACACTGTGAGAATCCGTCCAGAATCCACCGCTTCCCACCGCCCTGCCTGCCCCATCTCTCACCTGGATCCCGAAACAGCCCCCTAGGGGCCCTCTGCTGCGTCCCCACAGGCCAGGGGACCCTTTCAAGCCCAGGCAGAGGGCATGTCTCCCTGCGCAGAACCTCCTGGGCGCCATCTTGCAGGTGAAAGCCTCAGTCCTGACAACAGCCCTTCTGATCTGGCTGCAGCTTCTCTGTGAGGACAAGCCCCTCGCCTGCGTCTCCCAGCCCGGCTCCTCCCTGGAACATGCTGGCGGGTCCCACCTCAGGGCTCAGACTTGCTGCTCCCGCTGCCTGGCGGGCTCTTCCTCCAGATCCCTGTGTGACGCGCTCTCCTACCCCCTTAAACTGCTGCTCAGATGTCCCTGCTGCATGACGCTCCCGACTGCCAGCCCTCCTGGCTCCTTCAGCCTTTAACACCTTTCCTGCTCTGCAGAGAACCTGGTCATGTGTCATGCTTACCCTCTACCTCCTTGTATGAGAACGCGAGCCCCACGAGGGCAGGGATTGTCTGTTTTGCTCACTGATCTGTCCCCAAGCCTAGAACACCTATCTTTCTCATGTCCAGGTTGTGCCCTCGCTGTCTCCTCTGTTTGGACAACCTTCTCTCTACCACCCATTTCCTTGGTTAGTTCCTTCCTCTCCTTCCAAACAGCTCAGGCACCACTTCCTCCAGGAAGTCCTCCTGGACTTCCCTCTCTGCCGAGCTCTCATCTTCTTGTTCTTGTTCTTCCTCCCTCCATAGAGCCCTCACCACACTGAGTCTATGACCTGCACGTGTCTCCTGCCCAGGCTTTGAGAAATCTGAGGACAAAAGCCCCCTTTATCAGCTTTCTCTGGAGAGAGGGGTTTTTTGCATGAAGACTCTGGTGCTGGTGGCATGGGATGAGCCACCTGCCCCCATGGAGCCCAGGTCTGAGTGGGGACAACAGGCTCCCTCTGTCTCTTTGGAGCCATAGCTCCGTGTCTGCCCACCCGTGTCTAGATCTGGCTGGCATACACTGAGAGCTGCGCCTGGCAGGCCTGAGGGGGCCCGGGCACCTCCCGGAGCTGAGGGCCCCACACTAGGAACACTGCCCCAAGCCTGCTGCAGGGACCGTGGGCTGGGAGCACCCCCATCCATGAGAACTTGAGCCAGGTTCCTCCTGGGCCTCAGGTCCAAGGCGGGAACGACATACCGCCACACGGGGCAGGTGCCTCTGCTCTTCAGGGCCGTAGATCCCCGGGGGCCGGAGTACACAGGTCCGGAGAGTGCCTCCTCCTAGGACACGGGGAGGGCGGTCAGAGGGAGGCGGTCCAGAAGAGGGGGGACAGATGGCTGCCCACATCTCCTGGTCCTTACTGGGCAGGTTAGCAGGGAAAACAGGTCCTTGGGGTTTCCTCATTCAGTTAGTATTCCCTCAGTCAATTAGTTAGTCATTCAACAAACACGGTTCAGAGGTTTTCTCCTTGTCCCCTGCCCCCTGCCCCCTGCACTGGGCCTTGGGTTGGACGCTGTGGAGAACCTAAGAATGACCAAGAATGCTTCCCGCCCTCATGATGCTCACAGGCCAGTGACAGTAAGACCTGGATGCAGGTGTGTGCACTGCCCTTGACAGACATGATTCCTTCCACTCCCTCCTGTGCTCATGTACAGGTGCACACAGACCCACACTCCCTCATGCCGACAGCTGCAGTTCTTTCCTTTTCCTGATCATCAGTTAGATAAGGACTATGATGCCCTCAGGGAGGTCCTACTATGTGCCTGGCACTCTGGTAAGCTGCAATTTTTCTCCCTCAAGGCAGCCCTCTGAGCCCAGGTTCAGACAAGGGATGCGATTTGCCTAAGGACACACAGCTCAGCTTTGTGGAGCTGAGATGGAGATCCAAGCCCAGGCTCTCTCCACTAACCCCCCTGCCTCTCGGTGACACAGAAATAACAAGTAGACCCTGTCTCCAGCTTTGCCAGCCTCGGTCTCCTCACCTGGAAAATGGGTGCTTTGTAGGTGGTGGTAGAAGATATACTCTCTAGGCCGGTGGTCGGCAAACTGCGGCTCGCGAGCCACATGTGGCTCTTTGGCCCCTTGACTGTGGCCACAAAGTTTCCATCGCACTGTACGTACGCGCCCGCACGTGGTATTTTGTGGAAGAGCCACACTCAAGGGGCCGCAGTTTGCCGACCACTGGGCTAGACCAGCAATGAAGAAAGGACAAGACGGGCGCCGTCAGCACATGAGCCTGCCCCCTAACTCTCCCTGCTCTGTGCCAGCAGGGCCCCCAGACCAAGACAGAGCTCGGTCCAGGGCCTCCCAAATTCTCTACCAGGGCCCCCCTTGTGGGGTGGTGAATGTGTCTCCTGTGGGGTGTAGCCTGAAGGGTTGCCACAAATATATCCTTTCAAGTTTTAGGAAAGCCTACAAAATTTTCAGTTTATTCTCATACTCCATTTGTGTTTTAAATTTAAATTTTTTAAAATTACTTATTTGTAAATTATTTGACACTCAACCGCAACTCCTTAACGGAGATGGCGCCTCCTGGACGGTGTTCTACTTGGGAACCCAAGCGGCGGCTCCCGGTTTAGAAAGCCCAGGGTAGACCAGCTCTGGGGCCAAAGCTCACCTCCTTTGCGGACCTCCTCTCCCTGCGTGAGGCCTGGGAGGACTGGCAGTCTAGATGTGCCCCTGGCCCCTGAGGTGGTGGCCGTGGGACCTAACCTGGGCCAATGACGTGTGCTCACCAGGAAAGTGACTCCAGGACCTACACTCTGAGGGGGAGGGTTACCCAAGAGACTGATCATCAGCTCCTGCCCCTCGGGCCCCCAGGGCTGCCCCAACCCTGTCCTGTCCAGGCCTTGGTGGCCATTTTTCTAGAAATTTCTGTCCAATGTCCTTCCAGTGTAAGTCCCCTTCATCCGGTCAATTAGCCAGGACCAGCGTCTGCAGGTCCCAGCCAAATACCTTGACTGCTTCCCAGATCAACACCCTCACCTGACAATGAGGCCAGGGTAGCGGATTAGGTGGTAGCTCTGAAGACATATGTGCACATCCCACAATCTGCGCATGCGGCCTTATGTGGGAAAAGGGTCTTTGCTCATGCAATCAAGGACCTCACAACGAGGTGATCCTGGATCACGTGGGTGGGCCCAAAGCCCACTGCCAAGTGTCCTTATAAGAGATCAGGAGAGTCAGGTGGAGAAGAGGCCACGTGGAGACAGAGGCAGACGGGCATGATGCACCCACATAGCCAGGAGCGAGGGGAAGAGACAAGGAAGGACTCTCCTAGAGCCTTCGGAGGGAGCGAGGCCCAGCGCCTCCCGGAGAACGGTGAGAGCAGATGTTCCAGCTGCTCTAAGCCACGGGGTGTGTGGCAATGTGTCCTGGCGGCCCCAGGACACCATGTACCCAGAGGCAGAGAACGCAGCCACGGCACACTGAGCCGTGGTCTGCACACCTCAGGGCTTTGCCTCAGGGACAGGGCCCTCCACGCCAGGTCAGAGGGGCCAGCCTGGGTAGCAAAGACTGGAAGTCACCCAGAGTGGCGGTGGCTGGGCTCCGGAAGGCAGGTATCAGGTGAGCTTTTCTGTAACAGCCCGTGGCTAATTTTAAACTCTGGGTCACCTGGGCGCAGAGGGGGAGGGTCGGGTTGCAGTGACATTGGCCGGCAGGGCACTGGGCAGCCACATCACAGACGCCTGGGCCCAGGGTATCCATGACTCTCTTGACCATGGAAAGTTGGGGATGCTCATATAAATAATTCTTGGCCTGAGGATTAGGTGTCCGGCTTCTAGGCTGCTGGTCCTGTGCGTGTGTGTGTGCGTGTGCGTGTGCGTGTGCGTGTGTGTGTGTGTGGCAGGGGTTGGGGGGCTGGCAAGTAGAGAAGAGAATTCAACTGTACAGGGTGAAACCTCTGGAAAACACAGCTGGAAGTTCCTGATAGGCCCAGGGTGATGGGGTGGGGAGGGTTTTAAATTTTTTTAATCCTCACCCGAAGATATGTTTATTATTTTTATTTTTATATTTTAGAGAGAGAGGAAGGAAGGGAAAGAGAGAGGGAGAGAGAAACATCGGTCAGCTGCCTCCCATATGCCCCCTGACAGGGATCAAACCCACAACCTAGGTATGTGCTCTGACCAGGAATCAAACCTGCAACCTTACGGGATGACGCTCCAACTAACTGGGCATCTGGCCGGGGTGGTGGGGAGGATTTTAGGGGAAAGAGCTCATTCTCAGAGACCGGCTCAGCTGTGGCTACAGTGCAGGATGGTGGTGAGCCCCGGACTCTGGTGTCAGACCCCTGCGGTGGGGGAAAGGTTCAAACCCCGTATCTGCCACCGAAGACCGTGTGACCTGAGCTAAGTCAGTTAGCCTCTCAGCCTCCGTTTCCTCCCCTATAAATTTCAGGGCTTTATAACTGCAAGCATCCTTGCTTTCCAAATCCAATTGGTCCCTGAGTTTAGGTAGTGAGGGTAATAGAGTTTTCTTTCTTTTTTTAAAAAAGATACCTTTATTTATTTTAGAGAGGAAGGGAGAGGGAGGGAGAGAAACATCAATGATGATAGAGAATCATTGATTGGCTGCCTTCTGCACACCCCACACCAGGGATCAAGCCTTCAACCCAGGCATGTGCCCTGACCGGGAATCAAACTGTGACCTCCTGGTTCATAGGTCGACGCTCAACCACTGAGCCACGAGAGCTGGGTGGTAACTGAGCTTTCTGATTTAAGTTTCTGAATTTTGGAAAGCAAATAGGGATCATTTGGATAGTAAGGAATTTATATAAATCGACTCGGTTCCTGAGTTTGGAAAGCAAGAGCAACGTCAGGGTCTTGCCTCATGGATGCTGTGAAAAGTTATCAAAAATCCTGCTTATGAGAGATCAACCAAAGGACTTGTATGCATGCATATAAGCCAAACCAATGGACACGGACAACAGGGGGATGAGAGTATGAGTGCGGGGGAGGATGGGGGTTATTGGGGGGATGAGGACACATTTGTAATACCTTAACCAATAAAGAAATTTAAAAAAAAATCCTGCCTATGAAATTGGCATGTACAATAGGCCTGAGGTGCTGTGAGCACTTCCTAAATAGACTGTCCAATTCTGCCCTTCAATAGCGCCCGTTATTATTTGCCCTCATACCAGCTCTGCGAGGTAGACTCCACCATCATCACATGTCTTTACAGACGAGGACACTGTTGCACAGAGAGGGTACATGCTTGCCAAGGCCACGCAGCTAGAGGTGGTGGAGCTGGGCTCTGAACGCGGTCGGTCTGATGACACTGCGTAGCCACTGGCCACTGCGCGCACGGCCACCTGCCTGCGCTCTGTCACTCCTGCAGCCTGAAAAGGCGCTGGCTGCCAGGGGGCAGGAGCCCGTGTTCCTGGGAGCGATCTCGGTAACTCGCACAGCCCTTCCAACGCGCCACACCCGCTCCGGCCTCAGAACTGCTGCGCTTTTCTCTGACGCGGGTCCTTAAACAGGATCCGCTCCCATCTGGTCTCTTCCCCACCTGACCATGAGCAGCCTGAGGACAGACTGGGCTCTATCCCTGGTGGGGGTGGGGACACAGCAGGTGCCCAGACACGTTGAATGACGAGTGACCGAGGCTCTGGGGGTGTCCTTTCGGGGGAAGGGGCCTCAGAAGCGCGTCAGCTAAACGCTGGAACCACACGTATGTTGGGGCGGGGCGGCACGGGGAGGCACGATACTGACCTGGGAGAGGCGTGCCGTTGGCCGTGAGGGTCAACTGGTCGGCAATGGCTTTGGTCCGGGAGTAGTGGTCCATGTGCTGCCGGAGGAGGGTGCTGCTCAGTGACGCCGCCGGCTCGGCCTGCACAGCCCGCCCGGGCTGCACCTTGGCTTCAGACCCCTCGACGGTTGGGTTCTGGGGACTCTCCGTGGGGAATGGCCAAGCCCTGAGCCCCGCCGCCCCTCTGCCCTCTGGTGGAAGCCACAGGGGCAGTTCAGGGGAGAGGGGCCGACGTCACACAGCCAAGGGCTCCTGGACTCAGGGAGGCTCAGGCATGTTCACGTGGAGCCCCGCAGGGTTCGCGTGGCGTTTCTGCACACGCCAGCTCCTGCCTGCTCCCCACAGCCTCACAGGTGCTTCATGCCCAGAAGAAAGAGGCGCAGAATAAAGTGCCTGGCTCAGGTCAGACAAGGGGAAAGAGGCTGGCCGGCTCCAGGCCAGGTTTGTCTAGTGTCAAAGTCCACGTCCATGACCAGCTCAGAGAGAAGAGGGCCTGTCCACTCTTCAGAAGGAGCGTGTTGGGGCCCCTTCTTCTGGGACTCGCCCCGAATTGGGGATTGGCTCTGGCTCCGCCCTCCCCTTCCCGGTGGGTCCCGGCCGTGGGCCCTGCCCCCCCTGCAGGCAGGTACCTTCTCCAGCGGGAAGTACGGCACCGAGTCCTCATCGCCCTGCTCGATGGGCTTCCCGCCGAAAGCGACGTTGACGGTGCTGGTGTAGACGAGCCTTGGAACTCGCCGGCGGACACAAACTACAGGACAGGTGCACAGAGTCTCACACACACCCTCCTTCCCTCACTCGGATGAGGCTAGTCCCCTGCTCTGCGGGCCCCGGGATGCCAGGCCAGCTCACTCCTCCTCCGTGTGCTGTGGCTCCCAGCTCCCTTGCCAAGCACAGGTCAGAGGAAAGTCTCACTCAATGGGGACACAGAGGAAACACACTCCAGAGTCAGAGAGAGAAGTGAGGAGCAGGACGTGCCCAGAGCCCAGAGGGGGGTCTCCTATTTTGGTTCCTCAGTGACTTTTCTCACTCCTGACCCCTCACCCCCGTGTGCAGACTCTCCCCGGGCCCAGACACGCTGACCACCCCGCTGACCGCCCGGGCAGGGGCTTGGGCAGGACACGCTGACCACCCCGCTGACCGCCCCGGGCAGGGGCTTGGGCAGGTCTGCCACAGGCAGGAGGTGTGCCACAGGCCCCCCGCTGGGCGAGCGAGGTAGGGAGGAGGGTCCAGCTCTGTTCCCTCCCCCGCCCCAGAGCTGGGCCTGTGGCAGGAGGGGAGAGAAGGCGGAAACACACGCAGGCCACACTGGGCTCTGAGCGCCTACCATCGATCACCAGTTTGGTGCCACCGACATTTATAGACTCAATCTGCTCTTTTTGAAGCTAAAAGACAAGATGAGGTGGGAAAGTTGGGGAGTTGCCTCTGCCTTGTGGCTGAGCCCGTGAAGGTGGGGGCTGCAGAACTCCAGCTCAGAGGAGGGCTCCCAAGGGGCACAGGGAGAGCGAGCTCCGGGGCCCAGCTCGGCCGCCATCTCCCTGGGGGAGGCTCTGTCTCGGGGCTGGCCCTCATCCCCTCATCTGTAAGGTGAGGGCAGCCCCCGTGCGTGCTCCGCAGTATGAAACGAGCCCCATGGGGGGAATGGTTCAGCGCTTGACACAGAGGAGGGACTCAAAGCGTGTTGGTTTGCTTCCTCGCTCTGGAAGTCTCTCCTTCTCCGTCTGACAGACAGCGACACTGTCCGTGCCCTGGCGAGGGGCTGGGGTGCCGCCTAGAAGGAGCTGGTCTGCAGTGAGACCTGCCGTGAGCCAGGGCCAGGCGAAGCCTTGCACGCCACTCAGTCCCGGCAGCCACGCAGGGAGGTGGCTTGCACGCCACTCAGTCCCGGCAGCCACGCAGGGAGGTGGCTTGCACCGACCGAAACTGTTTGTTTTCGCGGCCGCTGTCTTTGTTTACCAGGTAATTCAATCAGAAGGGTGCAGCCATTCAAACAGTGGAGGGTTTGCGGTGAAAGGAAAGGAACTTCCCTGTCAGTCCTGATTCCATCTCCCCGCCCCCAGAGGCAACCGCCGTCTCCAGTCGCGTGTATTTCTAGAAACAATCTGTGCTTATTAACATCGGCACACAGATGTGTGAGTATATAAACATTGACCTGAGCCCTAGCCAGTTTGGCTCAGTGGATAGAGCGTCGGCCTGCGGACTGGAGGGTCCTGGGTTTGATTGCGGTCAGGGCACATGCCTGGGTTGCAGGCTCCCCCAGTGGGGGTGTGCAGGAGGCAGCCAATCAATGACCCTCTCTCATCATTGATGTTTCTGTCTCTCTCTCTCTCCCTTCCTCTCTGAAATCAATAGAAATATTTTTAAAAATAAATAAATACATAAATATTGACCCGAGCTTTTTTTTTTTGAACAAACAGGAGGATATCAAGCACTATTTCTGCACCTTAGAAAATGTTCAGTATAACACATTTTGAGTTACCGAATTCTTTTGAACTTCATTGCGTGAATACATCACCATTTTTTATAAACAGTCTCCCACTGACGAGCATTTAGCTTATTTCCTTGTTGTGTTATCAAAACAGCGCTGCAGATAAGTATAGCATCTGAGTATGAGGATGTGCTGATAGATGCTGCTGACGTAGGTACTGGCAATGTCAGCCCTTCACAGGTGAAGGAAGGGGGCTCAGGGAGGTGTGTCAACCTGCCATGTCACAGGGCTAAAGTGGCAGAACTGGCTCTCGGTCCCATGGGTGAAAGACGCAGCTGGGTGTAGCCCAGACCCTCCCGGTGCAGCCGAAGAGCACTCGTGAGCACACGGCTGAGGGGCGGGCGGGCAGAGCTCCGTGTAACTCCAGGGACCGCATGTAAGGGGCTCACCTTCTCGGCGCCAGACATTCCATGGGAGGCCACGTGGAAGACACAGTCCACCCCTTCGAAGGCACGGAGCAGGGCTTCCTCATCTCGGACGTCAGCCTGAAACGGGAGGAAGAAATGGGGTAGGGGTTTGAGTCCAAGGCAGAGGTACAGCTGTGCACCTGGCCCGGTCCCAGCCCGACCGAGCACCTGTAGGGCCCGAGGGCTTTGGGGCAGGATTTACACGACTTCATAAGAGGAAGTCACCAGCATCAGCCCACTCATCCAGCTGTCACAGCGGCTGTGCCCGGGCACTGCCTCACCAAGCCCCCATGAGAGCCTGTGGAGCAGAGCCTGCAGGGCCCCTTCCTATGGATGAGGACATGAGGCTCAGTGATGCAGAGCCTGTGGCCATGGCTGTCCAGCTGGGAAGCCCCGGGTAGAGCTGGAGCTTGAACAGCCTGGACTCTCCTTCAACATCATGTTACTGGTTTTGCCTCAGATATTGTCTCCAGACCTCCACCCCCAGCCTGGACTGCCCACACCTCCCACCCCCACCCCCCGAGACCCTCATCCCTGCACCTGGATGAACTCAGTCCCTGGGACCAGCTCCCACTGGGGTCTGCGGAGGTCAAGCAGGATGACAGAAGTGCCACTCTTGGCCAGGCTGGAGCCCAGGCTAAAGCCCAGGTAGCCTCCTCCTCCAGTCACCAGAACCTTCTGTCTCGGGGCCTGCACAGGTGTGGATTGAGTCTTCTGCTGCAATGCTGGTGATGGGGCTGTCGTGGGCTCACTGGGTTTGGGACCAGTCCCCAGACTCACGTCTGATATCAGGCCCTACCCCAGGCCAAGATACTGACCCAGCTCCTGGCCCAGGCCCCAGACCTGAAGCAGCACCAGGTCCCGGCCCAGGTCCCGAGGCAGCACCAGGTCCCGAAGCAGCACCAGATCCTGAGGCAGCACCAGGTCCCGGAGCAGCACCAGGTCCCGGAGCAGCACCAGATCCCGGAGCAGCACCAGGTCCCGGAGCAGCACCAGGTCCCGGAGCAGCACCAGGTCCTGAAGCAGCACCAGGTCCCGGAGCAGCACCAGGTCTCGGCCCAGGTCCCGAAGCAGCACCAGGTCCTGGAGCAGCACCAGGTCTCGGCCCAGGTCCCGAAGTAGCACCAGGTCCCGGAGCAGCACCAGGTCTCGGCCCAGGTCCCGAAGCAGCACCAGGTCCTGGAGCAGCACCAGGTCTTGGCCCAGGTCCCGAAGCAGCACCAGATCCTGAGGCAGCACCAGGTCCCGAAGCAGCACCAGGTCCCGAAGCAGCATCAGGTCCCGGAGCAGCACTAGGTCTCGGCCCAGGTCCCGGAGCAGCACCAGGTCCCGGAGCAGCACTAGGTCCTGGCCCAGGTCCCGAGGCAGCACCAGGTCCCGGAGCAGCACTAGGTCCCGGAGCAGCACTAGGTCTCGGCCCAGGTCCCGGAGCAGCACCAGGTCCTGGCCCAGGCCCCAGAGCAGCACCAGGCCCTGGAGCAGCACCAGGTCCCGAAGCAGCACCAGGTCCTAGAGGAGCACCAGAGCCTGGAGTAGGTCTGGACACAGCACCAGGCCCAGGTCCAGGATCTGAAACTGCACCAGACCCCAGGCCAGGCCCTGACTCAGATCCCAGGCCTGAGACCCCTCCTGAGGCCTGGCAGACAGGGCAGCTCTTCTCCTTCTGGCCTGCAGCTTTGCAGGCTTCTGGGGAGGAGCCTGCTGGGTTGGGCTTCATCCTTTACTGACCCATGTGGACCGACCAGGATCTGTCAACCTGCAGGGAAAAATAAAAGACCACCCCCCCCATGTTCTAGATTTGTCTCAAGTCACATGTATTATCACACCCCTAGGGGCTAAGGAGAACTCCTGGGGGGAATTAGAGACCTGGGTTTGTAGAAAACCTGTCCTATTTAGAATCTTTTTAAAAAAAAATATATTTTATTGATTTTTTTACAGAGAGGAAGGGAGAGAGATAGAGAGTTAGAAACATTGATGAGAGAGAAACATTGATTAGCTGCCTCCTGCACATCTCCCACTGGGGATGTGCCCGCAACCCAGGTACATGCCCTTGACCGGAATCGAACCTGGGACCCCTCAGTCCGCAAGCTGACGCTCTATCCACTGAGCCAAACCGGTTTCGGCCTATTTAGAATCTTGAGAACTTCCCAGTGGCTGTTGCCTTACTCAAAGACTCTAAGACAGCAGTTCTCAACCTGCGGGTTGCGACCCCTTTGGGGGTCGAACAACCCTTTCACAGGGGTTGCCTAAGACCATCAGAAAACACATATATAATTACAGATTGTTTTTGTGATTAATCACTATGCTTTAATTATGTTCAATTTGTAACAATGAAAATACATCCTGCATATCAGATATTGACATTACGATTCATAACAGTAGCAAAATTACAGTTATGAAGTAGCAACGAAAATAATTTTATGGTTGGGGGTCACGACAACATGAGGAACTGTATTAAAGGGTCGCGGCATTAGGGAGGTTGAGAACCACTGATCTAAGACAGTGATGGCGAACCTATGACACGCGTGTCAGAGGTGACATGCAAACTCATTTTTTTGTTTGATTTTTCTTTGTTAAATGGCATTTAGATATATAAAATAAATATCAAAAATATAAGTCTTTGTTTGACTATGGTTGCAAATATAAAAAAATTTCTATATGTGACACAGCACCAGAGTTAAGTTAGGGTTTTCCAAAATGCTGACACACCGAGCTCAAAAGGTTCGCCATCACTGACCTAAGACAACGCAGTCAGGCCTTGGGTTTTACACCTGGGGAAACTGAGGCCCAAAGTCACACTGCATGGCTGAGATTTACACCAAGTATTTGTGACTTCTCTACCAGGTCCTGAAAACCCCAGCTCCCATGTAGTACCAGAGGAGGACAGATCAAATCGCATCAAAGGGAACCTCACCAGATTGGGGGGTGACTGCTTTCTGACTGCGGAGATACAGAGGGCTTCCTGGAGGAGGAAGAAGAGAAGGAGGAGGAGGAGGAGGACAGGAGGAGGGGAGGAGGAGGCAAGAAGGAGGGGGAGGAGGAGGACAGGAGGAGCAGGAGGAGGAGAAAACAAGGAAGGGGGAGGAGGAGGAGGAGGTGAAGGAAGAAGAGAAGGAAGGGGAGTAGTAAAGGAGGAGGGGGAGGAGGAGGGGGAGGAATCCACATGGGATCCAAACAGCCTCTGTGCCCTGGAAACTCACATGCTTCCGAATGCTGCACCCCCCCATCCTGACCACTGTTGTCCCTGGTCTCCCAGGTGCCCCGCAGAACAGGTGGCTGGCACTACAAGGTCTGCCCAAGCCCACAGGCTCCAGGGTTAGGTCTGTGCACCTCAGGGGCCAGCACTGAGGAGCTGTCCTCCTCGCTCTAGACTTAAAGCAAGCTAGGCTCAGACACCGCCACCATCATTGTCCCCCTCCCCAGCTCCTGCTGCATCTGAGGATGAGACTGGACCAGGGGCCAGGCACCGTCATCATTAATAACAGCAGGAACCATGTCCTGCGGGCCCACAAGGATGCAGAGGCAGGTAAGTCTCTGCTCGGTGTGGCACACAGTGGCTGCACAAGGAACAGGTGTGCCGAGTGCCGGAATGATGAGCCCCATGGCTGTAGCGGGTGGTTGGTGGCCACGGGACAGGGACCCTGACAGCGCGGGCCTGGACCTGTGTCTCCACACTGCCCTACTCTCCAAAGCTGAGTGAGGGATAGTCATGCCCCGCACAAGCTCTGGCCCTCACGGGTTTATGGGGGGGGGGGTTTGCCCCAAATCGGAGTCATCACAGGGGATGAGTCTGATGCCCCCAGAGGGAGCAGAGAGGATGCAGCCGCAGTGTGGGGCCTCCTGTGCCCAGACCCAGGGGTCTGTCCCGGGAAGGTCTGTGGGAGGGGCCAGAGCAGCTTTTCTGCCCCGCGGGGATGATCTGAGTGACTGAGGCTGGGACACTGCCTGGTACCCATTTTTCTGGGTGCGCTCGTGGGCAAGAACCTTAAAACCTAGCGGCACCTCAGTACCCACCGCTGTAAAGGGACCCAAATAACCCGGCCGCTCCATGACCCTCACGTGCCCGGGCAAACAGGTGGCGGGAGGCCCTGCAGGTCGCACTCCCGGCGCCGCGGTTAACTCTCCGGGCGGCCCCGGGCGTGGAGGCTGCGGGTCCCGGCACCAGCGACAGAAACCGAGGCGCAGGGAGCATCCGCGAACCCTCGCGAACTTAATGGACCAGGTTGAGGGTGACCGCAAGCCGGTCACGGTGAAAGGGAGTGTGGACCGACCCGGGGCGTCGTCCTCTGGGCGGCAGGAGCGCGTGCCCCCCGCGCCGAGACGG